ATCTATCGACGACCGCCAAGAGTAAATTGGAGTCCAAATTTTAATAAAACCGACACATTTACTCTAATTATTTACGACGTGGGTCTGCTTAAAGTTAGAGCATTTTGGAGTTCAATCAAGCAAAAGAATGGAACTTTTCAAGGAAAGGTAAAATAACTTTTTTAATAATTGTTTTTCTTTCTGTGTGTTAATCGAGAAGAATTATAGTTTTCCTTGAAATAAAATATGTTATCTGTGGGCTCGTCGAATGTGTCGGCTCGCAGAGTGTGTGGGCTCGACGTGTGTGTGGGCTCGACGTGTGTGTGGGCTCGCCGAGTGTGTGGGCTCGCCGAGTGTGTGGGCTCGCCGTGTGTGTGGGCTCGCCGAGTGTGTGGGCTCGACGTGTGTGTGGGCTCGCCGAGTGTGTGGGCTCGCAGAGTGTGTGGGCTCGCCGAGTGTGTGGGCTCGCCGTGTGTGTGGGCTCGACGTGTGTGTGGGCTCGCCGAGTGTGTGGGCTCGCAGAGTGTGTGGGCTCGCCGAGTGTGTGGGCTCGCCGTGTGTGTGGGCTCGACGTGTGTGTGGGCTCGCCGAGTGTGTGGGCTCGACGTGTGTGTGGGCTCGCCGAGTGTGTGGGCTCGACGTGTGTGTGGGCTCGCCGAGTGTGTGGGCTCGCAGAGTGTGTGGGCTCGCCGAGTGTGTGGGCTCGCCGTGTGTGTGGGCTCGACGTGTGTGTGGGCTCGCCGAGTTTGTGGGCTCGCCGAGTGTGTGGGCTCAACGTGTGTGTGAATGTCAGTGTGACAGTTAATGGGCCAATGTGACAGACGATTTGACATACAACGTAACAATGTGACACACAATGTGACACACAATGTGACACACAATGTGACAGACAATGTGACAGTTCATGTAAAAGACCATGGGAAACACAATGTGACATAAACTGTGACATAAACTGTGACAGACCGTCCGACAGATATGTGACATGATGTGACAATGTATAAATGACACATTGTGACATACCGTGTAATAGATGGTCAGACAATTGTATCACAGACTGTATGACTGACAGCGTGACTTTATGACTGACAGTGTGACTGTATGACTGACAGCGTGACTGTATGACTGACAGTGTGACTGTATGACTGACAGTGTGACTGTATGACTGACAGTGTGACTGTATGACTGACAGTGTGACTGTATGACTGACAGTGTGACTGTATGACTGACAGTGTGACTGTATGACTGACGGTGTGACTGTATGACTGACAGCGTGACTGTATGACTGACAGCGTGACTGTATGACTGACATAGTGACGAAAGTATGACTGACAGTGTGAATGTATGACTGACAGTGTGACTGTATGACTGACACTGTGACTGTATGACTGACAGTGTGACTGTATGACTGACATAGTGACGACAGTATGACTGACATAGTGACGACAGTATGACTGACAGTGTGACTGTATGACTGACCTTTTGACTGTATGACTGACAGTGTGACTGTATGACTGACATTGTGACTGTATGACTGACAGTGTGACTGTATGACTGACAGTGTGACTGTATGACTGACTGTATAACTGTATGACTGTAAGTTAACACATTACATTGCCACGTCTGACTATAGAAACCCAATCCAGTTCTACGTGTATAATTAAGAAACATTTTCTGGTCCATTTTTTGTTTTGAAGAACTACACACAACACATCACACAAACACACACCCTCACAAATACACCCACACAAAAGCTAATATTAAAAATATCATTCTGACTTCCGATTCCTAAACTTCGACATTATCATGTACTGAAGAATGTGTAACATTTTCAAAAGCTTATTTTGGTTTGTTCAGATGTTGCTTAAGGTAAACTTGGGATTCAATAATATTTGTTTAAACTTCAAAACACGCAATAAAAAAAAATCACATCTTTTACTGTGAAATACTTAACATTTTACAGACGTCCGCTTTTTATCAGCCCCCCGCCAACCCGTCACCAATCGTCAACCCGATATTGATTATCCTATTAAAAAAAGACATCTATGATTATTGGCACCAGTATAGAAAAAGGCCGACAAAAGAAACAGCCATTGCGGTCCGAGAGAAAATGATGACTATGTTCGGAGACGGCGCAGGTTGGCATTAAGAAATAACTTGTCGAGTCTAGGCATGTATGTGTATGTTTATGTGTATGTTTATGTGTATGTGTATGTGTACGAGGGTGTCATGAGGGCCAACTAGGGGGTCAGCTTCACAGATTTTCTTTCAAGCTTCTTTTAGGATGGGGGTGTGGGGCGTCGAAGTTTACATACCGCCTCCTCGAACGAAATAGAATTTATTTAAAAATTATATTCTTCAAACAGCGTGTGTGCGTATGTGTGCTTGTGTTTGTGTGTATTTGTGCGTGTGTGAAAACATGTGTTCGTGCGCGCTTGCATGAGTGTGTATGTGTGTACGTAAAAAACAACGACCTGCGTTGTACTTGTAAAAATCCTTACAAGCCGTTCTTCTATGTACATCTAGACGTGGTAGGCCTCCAGGTGTTTTACACTGACGGATCTTCTATGTTTGAAAAGTATATGGCTTGTACCGAGGGGTACATCTGTGACAAGACTTGTACACAGAAGTTTCGAGAATGTAAGTCCGTACATAAGAAAGTCTTGGGGAATAATATGTTTTCGTACATAAGAAAGTCTTGGGGAATAATATGTTTCCGTACTTAAGACAGTCTTGTGGAATAATATTTTTCCGTACATAAGAAAGTCTTGGGGAATAATATTTTGTACATAGAAAATCTTGGGGAATAATATTTTTCCGTACATAAGAAAGTCTTGGGGAATAATATGTTTTCGTACATAAGAAAGTCTTGGTGAATAATATGTTTCCGTACATAAGAAAGTCTTGGGGAATAATATGTTTCCGTACTTAAGACAGTCTTGGGGAATAATATCCTTATAACGTTTAACGTAATATTTGACGACAAAATTTTGACAAAATAATTATCTGTTCCTTACATAGATGCTGACAACGAAAAGATAAAAAATCAATTTGTTAATCTTGACTTGAGTGGAATTGACATGTACGTAAATATGTATTTCTACGCCTTCTTTGCTGGTGCTTTTGAAATCGATTGCTGCCATGGTATAAATCGTAACTCGAGGTAAACTATTATAAGGGAAATTATTGTTCCAAATTTTGAAATTTTAGGCTGTTTAAAAATGTGCCATAAAATGTAATGCGAACTCCTTGTTAATGTATTCCTGTCAAATATATTTTAGACCCGGGAGTCATCGGGGAATACCAGGCGATGATTTTAAAGTGGATAGCTATGAAAGATTATGTGAGTGGAAATGTCATGGCAACAGGGAGATCGAGATATCAAGCACTGAGTTGAACATTTACGGTAAATAGAAAAACTAAATAATCTGGACTAAGTGCTTACACGTTTAGCACTTAGATGAGCATTTATGCTAAAGAAATAAGTAAATGTCACAAACGTGCTTTGTTTTAATCATGTGGTCAAACTGCTCCTATGTCAAGCTTTAAGGAGCAGGGGCATCGTTGTCAAGGTAGGTAGTGCCAGGTCCCATCTTGCTGAACTGTGAGCAGGGGCATCGTTGTCAAGGTAGGTAGTGCCACGTCCCATCTTGCTGAACTGTGAGCAGGGGCATCGTTGTCAAGGTAGGTAGTGCCACGTCCCATCTTGCTGAACTGTGAGCAGGGGCATCGTTGTCAAGGTAGGTAGTGCCAGGTCCCATCTTGCTGAACTGTGAGCAGGGGCATCGTTGTCAAGGTAGGTAGTGCCACGTCCCATCTTGCTGAACTGTGAGCAGGGGCATCGTTGTCAAGGTAGGTAGTGCCAGGTCCCGTCTTGCTGAACTGTGAGCAGGGGCATCGTTTTCAAGGTAGGTAGTGTCAGGTCCCATCTTGCTGAACTGTGAGCAGGGGCATCGTTGTCAAGGTAGGTAGTGCCAGGTCCCATCTTGCTGAACTGTGAGCAGGGGCATCGTTGTCAAGGTAGGTAGTGCCACGTCCCATCTTGCTGAACTGTGAGCAGGGGCATCGTTGTCAAGGTAGGCAGTGTCAGGTCCCATCTTGCTGAACTGTGAGCAGGGGCATCGTTGTCAAGGTAGGTAGTGCCAGGTCCCATCTTGCTGAACTGTGAGCAATACCATTGAGAGAATAGTTTTACTATTAACGTGCATGATCTCGGATTGGTTCCAGAACAGGACAGTGTGTTTTGACTTGCATCTTTGCATTATAAAGTTGGGAACTTGAGGTTGGTAAATTAGGGTTGGCTGTATAGATTAAGGGACATCAGGTTGTTAATGTTGGGTTGGCAATATAGATTTAGGGACATTAGGTTTTTAATGTAGGGTTGGCAAGGCTGAACAAACAACCTGATGCTAGAATGACAATTATTTACAAACACTCATTTCAGGCGACAACAACCTCTACACATTTTTCGGTGTAGTCACTAACAACATGGGAGATTATCGTGTACAAACGATTTATAAGCTGCTCAACGTGAGACTTACTGGTAGGTTTTTTCATTCACTGAAACAATTTTGATCACCGCGTCTGATAGAATCATATTTTAATATTGGGTGGGTGGTAAAAATATAAGAAATCACCGTTATTTTTTCACTTGTAACACAATTTAACTAGTAAAAAAAAAGGGTCCTAGGTGCTTTGACCACAGGTGCTTTGACCATAGGGGGTTTGACCACAGCGGGGCTTTGACCATAGATGGGGGTTAAACATAATATATAGATTTTAAAATAGATATTCGAAATTGTTATTTTAACTTAATTTATGATACAATTAATACAATTGTAAACATGTTTCCTGAGAGTCCATTAATTGAAATTAGCATGTTCTAAAAAAGTCAATATCGATATTTTAGTTTGACTATATGTCGGTACATCTGTTTGACCATATGTCTTAACAGCACGTTGTAATTTTCCGTGCAGTATTCTGTATTGCTTCTCAGCTGGGTACTTGCTCCTGCGACACCTTTCAAGAAAGTTGTCTTTTGCTGTGTGCAGTCCATATGTGGACCTTCAAGGAAACGCCACATTGTTGGGTGACTTCATTGGAGGAGAGACTGAAGACTGTATTGCCATCATTCACAAATGCTATTTGTTTGTGCTACACAATTGCCAATAGTGTTTGTGTTTGATTCCAATTTTTTTAAATAATCCGTACCATATATGGACAAAGTGCTTGTTATGAAACGCCCGCATTGGACAAACCTCCTGTGATCAAAGAACCTCTGCTGCTAAAACACATGTGGTCAAAGCCCCTATGGTCAAAGCCCCTATGGTCAAAGCCCCTGTCGTCAAAGCCCCGTTGTGGTCAAAGCCCCGCTGTGGACAAACCCCTGTGGTCAAAGCTCCGCTGTGGTCAAACCACCTATGGTCAAACCCCCTATGGTCAAACCCCCTATGGTCAAAGCACCTGTGGTCAAAGGTCCGCGCACCAAAAAAAGCAACTAAGTCTTGTCAAATTTATATAAGTTGTAGGTGATTAGCTATTGGTATATGGTGAATGGTTAATGACAAAGATTTGTAAAGAAACTCAAAATAGAGCGGAAACCATCGTCTCCCTGTTCTAAGTCACTTGTTAAGACATTTCATTTTGTATCCTAACTGGTTTGTTCGGGTTAAAGATCTCTCCTGAGGGTGTTCAAGTTACTTTAAAGAGTCTCTTCATGATGTCTTGTCTTCTCTGACATCTGATGGAGGAATTGCCTTTTTGTTATTTGTCTTCTTTTGTAGTGGGATGGATTTTCCCGACTGCTACCAGCAGGAGGTCTAGGTGGGGGAGGGGATCTGTAAGCCAACTCACTCTCCCCACCTTTAGCATTATATCCTAGACGTAATTTCCTACATAACCTGCCTCTCTTGATATATAAGTATACCGTACCATGTAACTAGCAACACAATCGGGTTAGAACAATTTTGATTAGAAGTTTCAAATTGTGCAATCTGAAAATGACGTAACAAACAAGATTCCCAAAACACAACATGTGGCTGAATAAAACATTTGACTGTTTAAAAAAGATATTTAAAAAAAAATGTGAGTATGACCTGGAACCCTCAGTATCAATGTTATGCTCATCAGTTTTTCAAATTGGAGTATTTTGTATAGGAACAGGGCATAACCCCCACCCCCTACCCCAACCCCGGCAATATCCCCCTGACATCCCCACTCCGACATTACCCCCGGAGTAATTACTCCCCAGTCAATTAAGCCGGAGTGAGCACTTAAAGATAACATTCAAAAACAGGCCGAATGTAGGAATGTAGGCATGTAGAAATGACTGCTAAGGTTTGTTCCCCAAGTCAAATGAAGCAGGAGGCATATTTTTCAACAGCGCTTGTCAGTATATATACACGAATAAAGCATCGTTAAATGTTAAAAATCATGATTGGGTTAATAGCCTATTCCCCCATGTCCTCCGCCCCCCCGCCCCCCGCCGAGTGTATCGCATAACTCCTCTTTCTTTTCCTTCCTCTGGTAGTGCATTAGTGGGCGCATAGCATTTCACCGAGCTCATGAAGTGGTACCGAGATTGTCTCCCATGGTTTCTTCTGGTGATATCATAAGAGCCCTGAGTGTGTACGTGGTCTTTACCCTAATGACCTTAAATAATTGTTTCTCCTGTGGCCTGGCCGGATTGGCTACTGCCGTTTTCACCGTGCGATCTCCTTTATTATTATAGGGTTCTGATGTGTATGTGTGTGTCTGTAAACACGATAACTTGAGTACCATTACAGCTAGGTTGCTAAAATTCATAAATAAGTATCAAATCAAATTTATAGATCCTTATCAACTTTTCAGCGATTTCTGATAACCCGTAGTGGTACTTCTTCTACTTTCAATTTTTTAAAAGCTTATAACTTGAGTACTATTTCAGATAGATAATAGAAATTTCACATATAAGAAAAATATCTAATTCTCCTTTTTCAAAATTTTGAGTAACTTCCGTTAAACTGAAGTAGTAATTTACGCTATTTCCGATTTCTTTAAAAAAAAAAAAACGCATGTAAATTTATTAAGTACTAATAATATTCCGCACTATTATACATATTTTTTGGCGTTCACTTGGTGTGCAATTCTTTTTTCTACGTGATTCTATTCTATTTTTAAAAGTTTAAGTAATTAAAAATGGATTAAACATATTGTCTATATCCCGAGTTGCTTTCCCCTTAGTGTTGTACTAGCCGTTGGTACCCGTTACACGTGAATTATCGGTCTATATATTTTTAATGGTATACATTTTTTACTTTCTCGTATATACGAAGTATAGAGAAAGTATTGTAATCGTGCACAAAAATAACATGAGATTTTGACAGTTTTCACCGTTTTACTCCTCAGTCCTTCATCACATCCGGAGTATAGAGGACTTATTTTAATCGGGCAAAAATTATAAATACAAATATATAAACGTTTTGGCGTTTTATGCGTTATCGAGTCGTAAAAACTGGACTTTGCAATTCTGTCCATATGTCTGTGTCTGTCTGTGTGTAAACACGATAACTTGAGTACCGTTACAGCTAGGTAGATGAAATTTCATATATAAGTATTTTATCAAAATCGTAGATCCTGATCAACTTTTGAGCGATTTCCGATAACCGGAAGTGGTACTTTTTCTACTTTGAATTTTTCAAAAAGCCTATAAGTTGCGTACTATTTTAGATAGATGCATGACATTTCACATGTAAGTAAAAGATCTAATTCTCTACTTTCTGTCAAATTTTGAGTAATTTCCGTTGATCGGAAGTAGTAATTTACGCTATTTCCGATTTCTCAAAAAACGCATGTAAATTTATAAAGTACTAATAATATCCTGTACTTTTATACACATTTTATTAAGCGTTCACTAGGTGTGGGACGGAGTGGTCTAGCGGTAGAGAGCTGGACTGCTAACCCGTTAGTCTCGAGTTCGAATCCGAGTTCAAGTCAGTAGACCGTCCCTGAGTCCACCCAACTCTGATGGGTACCTAACTCCTGTTAGGGAAAGTAAAGGCGGCTGGGCATTGTGCTGACCACACTATCTCTTCATATGCCGAGGTCACAGAAACAAGTGAACTCTACTTCACTTGCCCCATAGGCCGTCAGGTTTGAAAGGGAAACTTTTCACTTGGTGTACAATTCTTTTTTTTACGAGATTCTATTCTATTATAGAAAGTTTATGTAATTAAAAATAGATAACAAATATTGTCTATGTCCTGAGTTGCCATCCCTCGTAATTTTATATTAGAATATTCGAGAAAGTTTAGGGGAGATCACTCCCGGTTTATTTAGAAGAATCTATATATATAATTCTCTTCTGGGAGCCGCTAGAAAACAAGCTGTAAACGCGCTCCCTCCCTCCCCACCCCTACATGGTCTTAGTGAGCTGTGTTCACTCTAAATGTTTACAAGCAGAGCCAACGATTTTAAACGTAGGGGGGGGGGGGAGGGGGGGGAAGGAAGGGGGGGGGGTTATGGTCCTTAACGAGCTACTTATAGTGTTTTAAAGAAATATTTTCAGTGGCAGCGTTGGTACTGTCGAATTCACAAATTATTAATTACTGAAAAGTAGAAAATAAAACAACTAAATAGCGGCGTATGTTATGCCGCGGGCCGGCTCGTATTTTATAAAATAGTTATTGGTCAAAACGCAATGTGCTTTTCTACAGGTTTAACGATATTAGTGACAAAGCAAAGAAATAACTAAATAGTTAAAAGTCCGACAGATTTAAAATAACATAGGCTACTAATACCTATTAGAAAAAATAAAACCAAAGTTTATACATAATTATTCAACACAACACCATATTAAATGCGCACATTGATTAAAAGACTTCGTTAAAAACCCCTCTTTTCAATGATATTTATGTTGTTTTTTAAAGTAATTTGTATTAGTTTTGGCTAACTACAAAATAAGTATTGTTGCATTTTTCTATTTTTAAAAGCAATGTTTTTTTTTTGTATAAGTGTTATTTTAACACTGACTTTACACCAGGCAAAATTTTTTTCCCTACTCATTATTAAAAAATAACAAGTTGTATTAACTGAAATCATGTATAGCATACATTTCTATACTATTTTGATTGTTAAACAAAAATTAAACTGTCATAGCATGAGCTGATATATTTTGAGAAGTCACAAAGTACAAAAGGTTAAACCATTTATAAATAATTCATGTTCTGATGGGATTAATTTTTTTTTACAGAAATTGAAGACTAATTTTGAAATTCTAGAAGCTTAGTACTACAACTGTTAATAAAATTACTTCTTAAAAGTTAAAAAAAAAAAAAAAAAAATTAGTTTTGGCCGAGGAAATTGTATTAATTTCATAAATTACGTCTCGATAAGTAAATCTATAGATCTAATTCAAATAGTTCATTTCTTCGTATTCTAAAATTGGAAGATGACGCCATTGGTTTTGTGTACTTTCCGTACTTCAAACATATGACATGTGACGTCATCGATATATGCGTTCTTGTCCCAACTATAAGCACTTCCGGTTGCATAATTAAAACTGTTTTTCTACATTTGAATATGCCTTAATTTTATTTAAAGAAGAAAAATAAAAAATATTGTGTATACATTTAAAACATCTAACATATTATTTTCAACCAAAGTCCGTATAAAGTTCTTCATATATCACTGCATATTCTGATGTGATATCCTGCGAAAATATTTTGCGGACAGAGAGAGAGAGAGAGAGAGAGAGAGAGAGAGAGAGAGAGAGAGAGAGAGAGAGAGAGAGAAAGAGAGAGAGAGAATTGCGCAAATGGGCTTTTATATATTAGGATAAGAATATTCGAGAAAGTTTAGGGGAGATAATTTCCTTTTATTTAATATATTCTTTGTTATGAATAAAATCATTTCATTACCAGACATAGATCCAAGAATTGAGGGCAACGATGATTTCATCTTGATGGGTAACAGCACGAAGCGGCTGTTTTTCTTGCTGTTCTCATCGGTCGACCAGCAAAATGGTGAACCTTCGTCTGACAGGTAGCAAGTGTTAGTGTTTCATCTAATAGCTGGCAAGTATCAGCAATGTAGTTTCTCACATGTATGCAAGCACTTTACGCATAAGTGGTTGTTTTTTTTATTTCTCGTATACATAGATTTTGACAAACTTTGACGTTTTACATCTTTCCAAAACGGAAAATCTTGGTTTACAAATTTTGTCTGTTTCGGTTATGTTGAGGAAATTTCATATATAAGTATTATATCAAATTCGTAGATCAGTATCAACTGTTGAGCTATTTCCAGTAACCGTAAGTGGTATACATTTTACCGGTTTCTCAAAAACCAATAACTAGATCGCCGTTTAAGTTAGGTAAGGGAAATTTCATATATATAAATTAAATAGTATGTGCAGCATTCTTTTGACGTTCGAAAGATGTGGTGCTTTACCCAATTTCTTTGTGAACACTTTCATTAAAGTACTGTTTCAGTTAGGTAAAAGAAATATCATGTATAAGTTAAGACCTTACACTTAAATTATTTTTTAAAATTTTTGAGTGACCACCGATAACCAGAAGCAGTACTATTAATTAAAAAATATCCATATCGTAAGTACCTTTTCCCTTAGATTAACATAATTTTAAACATTGATTTAATATTATGCGGTTTAAAAAAATTATATTTATTTAAAAATTGTATCGGCAAAGTTTTGATTAGGCCTACATTAAAGATTGCTATTGAAACGGTTTTTATGCATTTTTTCACTACTTCAAATTTTTTTAATGCAATAACGTAGCATGACTAAAAACAATTGCGCACCAAATGAACATGATAATGCGCGTATAATAGTGAAGAAAAGTTTAATTAATTCATAAAAAATTAATTAGTCATCCAATTAAGTCAAACTTGATGTCAGATTGCATAGTCGTTGGATTTCGACCAACGTGCCAAGTTTGAAACATGTCGGTCAGTTAGAAGTGCTCTACATTTCGCTTGGCAGCTTCGATCTATGACGAACGGACGAACGACAGACAAAAGCATAAAAGACAGACAGAGGAAGCAAGTTAAATAGTAGCTTGTAAATATATACATACATATATATATATATATATATATATATATATATATATATATATATATATATATATATATATATATATATATATATATATATATATATATACATATATATGTATATGTAATGCCACCCCTCTTACTGTTATATAAGAATTTACGAAAAGTTAGGTGGAGATCACTCCCGCTTGTTACAAATATTTGTATTTAAAAGGTTCAGTGTGAGTTCGGAGGCTGATGATTAACTAATTATATTTCCAATCATTTGTATTTAACACAGTCTAACGGGCAAGATAAAGCTGCCCGAAGGTTTAACGTTACGGGGCATATCTTGGATCGACTTTGACAACAAATACATCACACCAATAAGTAAGCCGTTGTTAATGGTTTTCTTTTTATAGCCTTTCAGCAATACGCCCCGATAAAAAAGTCCACGACAATATGGTTCCCGAATAATAGACCTCAATTCCCCTTTTTAATCTCTCTCTCTCTCTCTCTCTCTCTCTCTCTCTCTCTCTCTCTCTCTCTCTTTCTATCTCTAATATGGACCTACCTGCTCAAGTAAACTTCATTAGCAAAGCAAGCTAAAGCAGGTTGAAACTTCGAGCATATCCAAAGCTCAGATTGCCAGTTGCTAGACCCGAATGTTGATGCCAGACCAGATAGCCAGCCGCTAGACCCGAAGGTTGATGCCAGACCAGATAGCCAGCCGCTAGACCCGAAGGTTGATGCCAGACCAGATAGCCAGCCGCTAGACCCGAAGGTTGATGCCAGACCAGATAGCCAGCCGCTAGACCCGAAGGTTGATGCCAGACCAGATAGCCAGCCGCTAGACCCGAAGGTTGATGCCAGACCAGATAGCCAGCCGCTAGACCCGAAGGTTGATGCCAGACCAGATAGCCAGCCGCTAGACCCGAAGGTTGATGCCAGACCAGATAGCCAGCCGCTAGACCCGAAGGTTGATGCCAGACCAGATAGCCAGCCGCTAGACCCGAAAGTTGATGCCAGACCAGATAGCCAGCCGCTAGACCCGAAAGTTGATGCCAGACCAGATAGCCAGCCGCTAGACCCGAAGGTTGATGCCAGACCAGATAGCCAGCCGCTAGACCCGAAGGTTGATGCCAGACCAGATAGCCAGCCGCTAGACCCGAAAGTTGATGCCAGACCAGATAGCCAGCCGCTAGACCCGAAGGTTGATGCCAGACTTTTCATTTGCACCGACGGTCTCTTGGCCGGGTACTGAGCTATTGACTCGGGTTAGCAAGCGAGATTTCTACCGTGTGTCCAGAAGCCCCGTCATTAACTCTCCAGTCATTTCCCCACCACAAAGACCTGAAGTTTTACATATCACCGCTCCCCTACCCTGGCAATGAAAAATTGACCCTGTATCTAAACCTGAAATTAAACGTAACCCAAAATGGAAAGGTAATCTTAGGTTGAATGTTAGTGCTAGGATTAGCAGCTAGCGCTAGGGTTACAGTGAAAGTGCGGATTATGGTATTAGGATTAAGGTTAAGGTATGGTTATTTTTTTGAGTTCGGACGGATCAAAAACCTCTAGCTGCTGTTGGCTACCACTAGCCATTCCACACCCACTAGGGGGGTCATGAGCTTGGTCCGACTAGTGGCACTCTTCCGAAGCCACGCGAAGGCCGCAGTTTAAAGTCAAAATATCTGGTTAGGGTCGAGAGCAAACCCTTCTTGGTTCTCGGCAGTCTTGTACCTCACCTCCCCCACGCTATAATGTAGGGGAATTGGGAGTCCGACAAACCAGGCTCTTCGGAATCAACCAGGTGGATCTTGTACCTAAGTGTAAGAGCGTAATGGAACTCAGAGGCTCAGTGCGTGGAGGCGATTTATTAACAGGGAATATATGGAAAGAGTTTTAAATTTAAAATGGCGTTAATCTTCCAAGTGACCTGAATGTCTTGAGTTGAGTTAGTTACAGCTAAATTTTCAAATTATGTTAAGATAAGGGCTTTAAAAGAGCAGATGGAGTCAGTTTGCCGCGGGTTTTTTGTCTGGAGATGTTATTAGAGACTTTGAGGGGTGAAGTATTGACGGGGCCGTTTTGTAGCGGGTCTCTTAGCCGCAGTATAATTCTCTTAATTGTTTTAGTTGACCAACCTATTACCTTCACTATTCACTGTTATTACACCTATTTAGTATTTCGACAGTAAGCATGTTATATTTGCTACTGTTATATTTGTTACTGTTAAATTAAGTTCGTTTCAATAATTCGTCATGTTGTCAAGCACCCACTGTAGTCCTAACCTCTGGCAGGTTCGTCTTGCGATGACCCGAGCCTAAAATGTCCCCCAAGTGATCCGACCATTTCAGATGATGAGAATCGTGTGTACTACACTCTGACCTTTACCAACCAGCTGTTTGAGGAAGAAATTGATGAAAGAAAATCCTCCCCGCCTACCCCGCCCTCTCCATCTCCCACAGACAAGCCAAACAATGCCGTCAATGATTTCAACCACCCAGGTGTTTTCATGTTAGGTACATTGTTCATGGTGTGTTCACTTATTTGACTAGGTACATTGTTCATGGTGTGTTCACTTATTTGACTTGGTACATTGTTCATGGTGTGTTCACTTATTTGACTAGGTACATTGTTCATGGTGTGTTCACTTATTTGACTAGGTACATTGTTCATGGTGTGTTCACTTATTTGACTTGGTACATTGTTCATGGTGTGTTCACTTATTTGACTAGGTACATTGTTCATGGTGTGTTCACTTATTTGACTAGGTACATTGTTCATGGTGTGTTCACTTATTTGACTAGTTACATTGTTCATGGTGTGTTCACTTATTTGACTAGGTACATTGTTCATGTTGTGTTCACTTATTTGACTAGTTAGATTATTCATTGTGCGTTTCAGTGTTAGGTACATTATTCATGTTGTGTTCACTGATTTGACAAAGGTGGTATTATGTTAAATATATTATTGATTGTGTGTTTCCATGTTAGGTGCCATATCAATGGTGTGTTCACTGATTTGACTAATGTTATTTTATTTTGTATTTTTAAATTATATTTTGTTATTCTTTAGTTTTAGCATTTTCTGAAATAAAATAACTATTTTATTTTATAGATTGTACATTTTTATAACATTACAAAATTCTCGTGATAAGTCCTTGACATTAAGTAGCTTCACCCTGAGCTTGGGTCATATTCTTGTGTCAGACATTTGTTCTAATGTGTTAAATAAGGCCTATATTTTTTAGGTATTTATTCGTTTTTTTTTTTAAATAAAATAAAAGCTGACTTTTATAAAGTCTAGTGTTTACTTATTTTGTTGATATTTCCCAACTTGACGCTTTCATTGTGTTTTTGTGTTTTCTCTACAATTTTTCTGATTGCGAGATAAAATATTCCTTATACTTTAGCCATGGTTGTACGGTCAGGGAATGTTGAACCCAAACGTAGCTAAAGCTAGGCACTATCTACATGGCTTGTGCTGTGGGGTAGGAATTTGTCGCTCCCCTAGAACTTTTGTTTGGATATTGGTGTCTGGAGATTAATTCAAATAAGATTTAAAGTAAGATACATTTAGAGCAAAAACAAAAATCTCCGCCTTACAGAAACCATACACTTAAGTCATTTGTTAGACGGTTAAAATGTTAACTACCGCTCATCCACTTGTACATTTTTTGTACATTTTTTAGCTGTTCAGCACTTGTGCTAATTTTGATAGGAATACGTGTACATGATAAAAAGGATTTCTACACAGTTACGCACTAATTCATTAACAACAAAATGTAATTGCAAAAAAGATGTTTATTTACTTAAGCAGATGGTAACATGTTTTTATGCTTTAATTTATATGTTCATTAAGGACTTAATATAATGAGCACATCAACGTATCACCGTGTGCACGATATAATTAACTAGTTCTTAAGATTTGATGTAAATGTTTTAGCTTTTCTTTTTTAATAAGTGCATATATGTTTTCAACAAAGGA